TTGCAAAAACGTCTTTCATTCTGAACATATTAATTTTGAATAATTTGGGTAGACTGTTGATTATAAGTGTTGCCTATGACGTCGAAGTCATAGACTGAAATAAGAAGATTATAAACTGTTACTTAAATTTCATTATTCGCTAAATATTATATGTATGTATTGAGACTATAAAATTATTAATTGTTATAAGTTAAAAATTTTTACTACTTAATGTATACATTTATAATAACTTGCTGCAATTAAAGGTATTTATGTGTTTTAAGAAATAAATTAAATGTAAAAATAATTTTGTGTAGACTATCTTTACACACCGATAATAAATTCTCACTCATAACGTTTAATATGAAAAGATTTAATATAATCAGAATTATAAGAATGATTTTTAACGGCTATAACGTATGAAATGTTGCGCTGCTCTAAATATACCACGTCAATTAATTTTATGTACACTATTGTTGTCAGGACAACGGTATGGATAGAGTAATTGTTACGCGTACTGAACGTCGTAAAACACTTTAGTTCTTGGTATCAGTGAATTCTATTAAAAACTTCGTACAAAAATGTACAATTACGTAACACCAATTCTTTATTTAAATATGGGTGGTGAAATGTTGTATGTTCTACAACAGAGATTGAAAGCACAGAAGATCAGTGTTGAAAAATCTATACAAGGCAAGTTTACTGATCATTTGTAATAAATTTATCTTTCATAGTTTACAGGTGAAAAACTTATAGCATTTACTATTACTATTTACATACTGAAATATTGATTTACATTATAGAATAGCTTTATCTTACTATTATAAACTAAAAATCTACTTAGCGAAAATACTGCTTTGTTTTCAGTGCTGGAAGGTGTAACAACTGCTTTACTTAGTCCTAAAATACTGTCTTGTATATTCGAGGAAGAATCTACGAGTGGAATGACTGCTTTAAGATCAACTTTAGAGGCTGTTGTATTGTCATCTATTGTTAAACTCGATGCAAGTAGTATGGACAAATTATTTGATCTCATGATCATGATGGTGAAATATCAGTTAACTGCAGCTACTGGCCCTAAGGAAGTTATTCTTTTAACATTAAATCACACAGATGCAATGCGAGATATGGTCAGTCATCCGACTGCACAAAGATGCCTCGGAATGCTGCACCAGATGGTTATTGACGTAGGCAGATTGTTTATACTAACTAATAATTCGTTTATACTAACTTCATTTTTATTAAATGCCCATTATTTGTTGCATAGATATACGAGGATTTAACTTGTGATGAAGTGTGGAATATTAGACATAACTGTTTGAAAGAATTAGAGACATATTGCGTAAGGGTTTCTCTTCTTCTTAGGTTTGGATTGCAAAATGATGATGGTAGTTTTAACATAACGTCACGAAAATACGATGAAAAATATGAAGAGAACAGAAGTACCTTTTTCGACATGAAGTTACGTGACATGCATCGCAAAAGCTCCTGTGATGGGTCGTTTAATCTTTATGGTGAACGTGGTACTATACTGGGTAAAAATATGTAAGTAACAAAGAAGAAGAAACATTCAGTCGATGAAACAAATACGTACTTAATAAATATGATATAGGTATGCAATGACTAATGAAATGTTGAAGCTAACAAGAAAGGGAGAAAATGAAGATATACAAAATTGTGGTGCAAAAGCAGAACTTGGAATGTTAGCCATTCAATTAGGGACTGAAGAAGCTTCATATACAAGACCTTTTACTTTGAATTTATTTTCAAACGATGTTCATGACAGTGAAAATATTGGAAAAGATAGTTCCGACTCAAAAGAAGCAGACACAAGTGATAGAGTTGATATCAAAAGTCAAAAAACAGTATTTAATGAAGATTATAAAACAAAACTTGATAATGTACGTGCAGACTTTTCTGAAGACAAGCTTAATGACTTAGAAAATCAAATGTTAATATTAGATATGCTAGAAAAAGCAGAATAATTTTTTGCAATATAATTTTAAGTTATGTAATAAAAGCACCAAATTTTTATGCACATTTTATCTATAATTGTATACAATCATTTTTCTGTACAAATAAATGTTTCTTTACTTAACATTAAAATAGTGTAGTATTTATACTACTCACATAAATTCTAAACCTTTCTAAAATGCAGCTTTTTCATAGAGTAGAATACTTTTATTTTCTACGTAAAATAATTAGTTTAAAGTTTGGTCATATCCAAAATATACTTTACTCCAGTTCGACCATCAACATTAAGTGCATTTACAACAGCTTCTTGGAACTGACAAAATGGGACTAACTTATGTGGTGGAGCTTTAAGCTTTTTCTCTTGGAATAATTTTCCTATTTCACTAAACATATCTAAACGTTCTTTGGAACTTTTATTATTTTTTGTCCATGCTGTCATCCAGAACCCTTTTAAACTTATATCCTATAAATATTATGGAATTATTAATAGATATCTGAAGCTCAATGATAATATAAATTATTTTACAAACTTTAGTTATAATTAAAAAGTTAAAGGAACCTTAAAAATAAGTGCAGAAGTTGGAACTGTTACAGGTTCCCTGGACATGCCACCATAGGTTACCATAACACCTCCAGGTGCTAAATGCCTCATAACATCCAATGCATTTTGTCCGCATACACAATTGAGAGCCAATTTTGGAGATGTTAACTTCTTGCTTTTAAAGATTTGAGTATTTCTTATATCGGATTCAGTTAATATTTCGTCTGCACCTAAACTAGTTAAATAATTCTAGAAGAACATAAAGATGTTATACATGTTAATACATGTTGATATACAAACATGGAATATGTTAATTTTTTTCTTACCTTTAGTTCTTCTAAATTTGGTCTGTCTCTGATAACACTAACGGATTTATAATTCCATATTTTACATAATTGTATGACCATCAGTCCTACCGCAGAATTTCCACCATTTTGAATCACAGTATCCCCTGCTTTCAATGATACAAAGTCTTTCAACATTCTATATGCAGTACAAGGATTAACATTCAACATACTGGCTTCTATTGTTCCAACATCTTTTGGAACCTAAGAGTTTTATAACAGTCAAAACATTAATCTAATTATACATTTAAATTTTTAGCTTTAAATTTGTACCTTCATGAGTTCTCCTGAATTATAAGTTGCATGTGTTCTCCATGTCCCCAGATTTGCATCATTTGGAATAATTCTGTCACCGACAGTTAGATCCTTAACATTGGGTCCAACAGCTATTACTTCGCCAACTCCTTCATTTCCTGGAGTAGCTGGTAAAGATGGTTTGCTTGGATATTTACCTTGTATTGTGTTAATATCTGCTGGGTTAACAGGTGCTAATAACCATTTCACAGAAACCTTTATAAAGAACAACATTTTATAATAAGCAATTCTCCAAAGATCCTTATCCTAAATAATTTAACTGATTAGTCAAAAACAAGTTACCTCATTATTTTTTGGTTGATTAATAGTTTGTGTTGTTATATGTAAAACAGCTGCAGGATCCCCATATTCTTTGTAAAGTAAGGATTTTACAGAATCTATTTTCAAATCCGTGCTCATTCCACGAATTAATGTAAAGTTTGTTTTAATCGTTCGTGAAATCGGCAAAATTGATTGTCTTAAATAAATAACCATTTTGAGGTTTAACATATGTTTTGAAATTTTTATACTAATTATCGAAAGATGAATAGTTTACTGAGTTCTTATTATAAGATCAACAATATTATATAAAAGGAAATATTTAAAAATTCGATTTCAGATTCGATAAACGTATGTATTAGGATATACTACATTCTTGTGAGCAAAAGTGACAATGTTACTCGATACGTTCCATTTAATTTATAAAATATTAAAAATATTTGTAAACGATCAAATTTCTCGCAGTAGGAAAAAATGTTTATGTATCTAGCGTTTTCCTACAATAAGAATACTCTGCCAAGAGTTTGATAACCTAAAATGGTTACAGTTACAGTGGTTACAGTCAAGTCAGTTAGTCAGTAGTTGTTTGACACTTCGATAGGTGACATCATGCTTGTGATTTAATTTACGCGTTACGATAACGATTAGTTTTGTGTTGTGTTATGTAAATAAAAGACACGAGTACGTAAATTATCATGCTATTAAGTAGTCTAATTATCTTGTTAAAAAAATCATTATGTTTTAATTGGGGCTTATGTATGTTTTTATATGTTCTGTTTCATTGCTCTTTGTTAGATAATTATACGTAATAATAATAATAATTATTATACGTAACGACTCTTTGAATAAGATTAAACAGCGCAGTTTCATGTTATTGAGTCAATTACCAATTAGTGTACATGTTAATATATTTAAAAGTAATGTATATTTCCAGGAAGCGAGAAAATGATAGCCTCAGAAATAGGGTCAACAAACAATGAACTTGGTCATATTAAAATTGGAAGTGAAAAAGCCCCATTAATCCATGGAAGAAGTGTTCTTTACAGACTAAGTAATTTATTTAGAATTAGAAGAGTACAACATTCAGAAGGAGATGGATATGTTGAATTTGGTAGTTTGGGTGCAGATAGTGGTCGTACCCTTGGAACATTTGCTGGTGTGTTCAGTCCTGTTACATTATCCATGTTCAGTGCCTTAATTTTTATACGAATGGGTAAGAACCTTTTCTTATATAATAATATAATCCGATATCTTAATATTATTTTGATGTTGTAATGGAAGTTTGATATTTCAGGATATATTGTGGGCAATGCAGGATTACTGATAACATTGGTACAATTTGTGATTGCATATGGAATTTTACTATTCACTGTTGCATCTGTGTGTGCAATTTCAACAAATGGAGCAGTTGAAGGAGGAGGCGCATATTGTATCCTCAACAAATGATTATTTTTTTTTGGTTAAAGAATGTTACTATTTTCAATAATTAGTAAGCTGTTACGAGTAATTGTCATATCTCATTCAGAGATAAGTTATCAGTCTCAAGTATATTCTTGTATTTAACACAACCATTTGCTTATATCTATTATTTTTATTTTCCAATTGCCATTGCATTCAATCAAATAATGAGGTTTAAAATAATAATTATTTTTGATATTAATTTGTACATTTTGTATACACTTCAAATTAAGTTTATATTAAGACTTCATAAAACTACAGTTTTTCTTATAAATTATTATACAGTTATGATTAGTCGTACCCTTGGGCCAGAATTTGGTGGTTCTATTGGTACATTATTTTTTATGGCTAACATTGTATCGAGTGCACTTTGTATCTCTGGATGTGCTGAAGGACTAATAGAAAACTTTGGGCCATCTGGCTATTTATCTGGCAAGAGTGCTCTTATCCCAGATGGCAGATGGTGGCGATTTTTATACTGTTCTTTATTAAACACTGCCAACTTATTAGTATGTTTGATAGGAGCAACAATGTTTGCAAAAACGAGTGTAGCTATTTTGGCCATTGTTTGTGTTTGTTTGTCAAGTGTTTTTATAAGCTTCTTGTCACAAGAACATATGGAGGTAATAATATACTATGCAAAAAAGAATTTAGTGCATTTAATTATTTTATTTCGTATGAAAGCAATTTTTAATGTCATTCCTTTTTATTGTAGATACCAATTCCAGATTCGAACACACTTGTTCAGAATGCAACTGAACATGTCAATGGTACTTATACAGGGTTATTATCATCTACTCTTGTAAGCAATCTTTATTCAAACTATAGTTATGATTACTCAAGTAGTGGAGCAATCACTAGTTTTGCAAGTGTATTTGGTGTATTATTCAGTGGTGTAACCGGGATAATGGCAGGAGCGAATATGAGTGGTAATTATCAAGACTATTTAATGATTCATTATTTATTTATATCCGTGTAATTTTTTGTATAATTTACGAATAATATTTTATAATTATTTATAGGCGAACTAAAAAATCCAGGCAGAAACATTCCACATGGCACTTTATCAGCAGTATTGTTTACATTCATATGTTATATCCTTTTATCTATATTTACAGCTGCAAGTACAAGTCGATTTTTGTTGCAAAATAATTTTATATACATGATGCCAATTAATATTTGGCCACCATTCGTAGCAATTGGCATATTGACAGCAACATTTAGTGCTGGATTGAGTAACTTAATAGGATCGAGTAGAGTACTAGAAGCGTTAGCGAAAGATAATGTGTTTGGTAAATTCAAATTTGAATTTTTTACAGAAGCAATTATCATTTTTACATTTTTGAGATTGAATACTTTTGATGATTGTAGGCTCCGGATTAAATTTCGTAACACAAGGAACGTGGAAAGGGAATCCAATTGCTGCAGTTTTAACTTCGTGGACTTTAGTTCAAGTAATTCTACTTGTAGGTTCCTTGAATACTATAGCTCAAATTAACTCGGTATTGTTTTTATTAAGTTATTTGGCTACCAATTTGGCTTGCCTTGGACTTGAGCTTGCAAGTGCTCCAAACTTTAGGTATCATTTAATTTGTGTTTATGTTATATTAATTGGAGATGTTAATTATTCATAGATGACATTTTAAATCTTCGTATATTTCTTTACAGACCTACGTTTAATTACTTTACATGGCATACAGCGACAATTGGACTTCTAGGAACATTGATAATGATGTTCGTTATAAATAGCATTTATGCTTCCAGTAGTATAATACTGTGTTTAATATTAATCATCGTATTGCATTTATTTTCGCCGAGTAAAAATGCACCATGGGGAAGCATTTCGCAAGCACTGATATTCCACCAAGTCAGAAAATATTTATTAATGCTTGATTCGCGTAAAGATCACGTGAAGTTTTGGCGACCACAAATGCTGTTAATGGTAGCATCTCCACGATCAGCATGCCCGCTTATAGATTTTGTAAATGATTTGAAAAAAGGAGGACTTTATGTCATTGGGCATGTGAAAGTTGGAGAATTTTCGGGTCAAAATATTGATCCTACCATAGAAGAATATCCACATTGGTTGAGTTTGGTCGATCATATGAAGGTAAAAGCATTTGTTGAGTTAACAGTTACAAAAACTGTGCGCGAGGGGTTGCACCATTTAATAAGAATATCTGGAATGGGTGCAATGAAACCGAACACAATTGTTCTTGGTTTCTACGACGAAGAAACGCAAATGGATTTTTTTACGAACTCTCAATATGCGACAGACATATTTGAGAATGTTTCAACATTCCCGAATAGCACTGTATTTCCATTGAGACAATCAAATGCTGAGAAAAATTTAGATCCGGTACAATACGTTGGTATGTGTTCGGATGTTTTAAAAATGAAAAAAAATTTATGTTTGTGCAGAAATTTCCATACACTAAATAAGTCTCACATAGCAAAGTAAGTATACGATTAATATCTTTGTTTACTGATTGAATTTGTATTCGCTGTTGGAAGCTCTCTCTCTCTCTCTCTCTCTCTCTCTCTCTCTCTCTCTCTCTCTCTCTCTCTCTCTCTCTCTCTGTGTGTGTGTGTGTGTGTGTGTGTGTGTGTGTGCGCGTGCGTGCGTGCGTGCGTGCGTGCGTGCGTGCGTGCGTGCGTGCGCGCGCGTGTGCGTATATTTCAACCTATTTTCATTCCCATGAATTTCCTTTCTAGGAATTTTAACTTAAAATATATTGACGTGTGGCCTGTAAACTTTTTCCAACCAACTGATCAAGATCCGTTTGATACAACGTCATTGTTCATGCTTCAACTCGCGTGTATTATCAACATGGTACCTGTGTGGAAAAATTTACACCTGAGAGTGTTCCACTGCGAAATTTCAGACAGCGACACAAGTTTAAATATTTCAGATTCGCAGAACGCAATAAGCGAATATCCTAGAGTTTCTAACGAGCATCGCATTAGAAAATTGTTGAACATGTTAAGAATATCAGCATCGATTACAAAAATTCCTAATTGGGGTGCACAAGTACGAGGATTGCAAGGCAGACCTCTCATCGAATCAAGAGTGGAATCTCAATATGAATCAAGCACCGAGAGCAATGACAACGTTTTAAGTAATGTCTCGCGTGCTTACATTTTGAGGTACATATTAATAAAAATACGTATTCATTTGATAAGGAAAATCTCGAGGGACGATATTTAATACGAACATGTTTCATATTCTTTTTTTAGCGTAAACCAACTAATTAGACAGTATTCTTCACAAACTGCAACAACATTCATTTATTTGCCTGCACCACCAGCGTCTAATACTTGGGACGAAGAAACCATGTATCGTCAGTATCTTCAATTGTTGACAGAATTGACCGCGGATTTACCTCCTATACTATTAGTACATGGTGTGAGTGCTGTCACATCTACAACACTCTAACATATGTACATGTAGGAACATATGTTTTTACTGTGAGAATTTTACATCGCGGGTATTATTTATTGATTCAATTATCTTACATTAAGTTGTCAAACTATTGGCATTTAAGTATATTCGATGGAGTAGATATTGGTATTCAAAATATAAAAAGTATTGGTCATGTTTTATTTAACGTATTATTTTATTAGACTTAAATTTACACGATTAATCAGTTAAATATTATTACTGATTTTTTATTGCAATAAGAGAAGCTTAATGTTATAACAAAAATAGTTTGTTACTGTGATAACGAAATTACTCGATAAGAGACTTTCCAGAAGTGAATATTTTTTAAGCATGTAAAAAATCTTTATTGAGAAATATATAACCTTTATTTTAACGTATTTCACACATGAAACTATTTCCATATAATTTTTTATA